AAAAAAAAAAAAAAAAAAAATAGTACAGTAACAAGGCATGGCGCTCGGAAATAACTTTAGCCATCCTGAACAGAACGAGTAAGAATCCTGAGATGTTGTTTTATTTTTTTTAAAAGTCCCTTCACTAAAGCTAGGTTCGCACATCACGTTCGGCTAAGATATAGCTGGCTTGTTAGGGGTTCCGTGGTTTGTCAGAACCCAAACGCTGTGGGCAGTTCATGGTTGAGTATTTTCTGCCAGCCCAGACCACCAGGTTTATTCGGCAAGCCATGTCTCAGCTGCCCATGGATTAGCCGACATTTCATATGGGAACAGCCAGGCGAGCAGAAGCACTGCCCGCGCACCACCGCCGCCGCAGCAACTCAGCGCGGCTCCCGGCTTCCGCCCATCCGAATCCCCAGGGCTTGGGCGGCGCGTCCTCGCTTCTTCTTGCCGCACGTACGTCACCAGTAAGTTCGGCAGGAAAGGCGGCGGCGAACCTGCAAGGCCGGAGGCGGGGCTGGGTGAACCGAGGGCGGAGCGTCGCACGGGGGCTGAATGGCCCCCTTGTCCGGGAGTGCGGAATTTTTTTCGTCACAGCGGTAGCCGTGGAAGCGCGGAGGCAAGATGGCGCCGGCAGCGGCAGCGAGCGGGGACCGGGGGCTCAAGAGCTTGGTGTGGCAGAGTGAGTGTCGAAGCCGACGTTTCTGACCTCCTTCCCGGTAGCTGAGCTCCCCTTCTTTCTCCGGGCATAGAAGACCCTGCGGACGCAGGTTGCTGACGGCCTTCCGCGGTTGTCCTCTGCCTGGCACAGCCGTGGATGGCGTGTAGACGGGGAAACGTGCGAATGCGGGGTTGTTCTTCGTGAGGCGACAAGGTGGCGGTGGGCTGGGACGGTAACGCCTTCGTCTGGTATCGGCCCCGCGTCTGGACCCCTTAGTGCGCGTGCATCTCGAGGGTTAGGCGAAGCAATTCCTTCGCTTTATTTTTCGCCTCAGGAAGCGCTTCACCTGCTAAATCTGTAGCATGTTGCCCTCTTTAAAGATCCTTTCCCAGACTTTTCTTACATGGCCACTCCTATTCGTATTCTTTCTGGTCCCTCAGAGTGGCGTACACGGATGAATCTTCTTTTTCTTCACAATAAGCTTGTATTTTAAAAGTTCGCCTGATTATTAAAAATAATACGAGTACAGCCGTGGAAGTATGTTAGGCTGAGTTATATGAAAAAAGCCCAGGGTCTTTTAAATTCATTCAGATCCCTGGTAGGGATGGAACGTGGTGCAATATTATCAGGTTCTAGGCAGGCTGCTAATGCAGTGGTAGAGAGGTGCTGAGATGGTAATCGGATGGATTACTTATGATGGAAAAGAGAGATTGTTTAAAATAGAAATTGATATGTTATTTTAAAACTAGTATTTTAGAATCTAGTCTCTGTGTGTGCGCAAGTGTGTGGCTTTTAAGGAAGCAGAAGAGATTAATAAATTAAGAAAATACTATCATCATCTGAGGGCAGTCACCTAATAGGCAGCATTTTAAGATCAGAATCTCAGTTCAATTTGCTACCCAGTTCTGAATTTTACAGTGTGATTGAGCATTGACCTAGTTTACCTTCCAGGATTGCTCTAGATAAAATGTTATCAATCCACCTACTGCATCCTGAGCTCTTTGAAGACAGGGAATATAAATGAATTATTTTTTCAGTAA